GACGGTAAGACGCGCAAGACCCTCAGACACCCTTAAAGTGTAGTTCCCTATGGCCTCGAAGACGCCTCCTCAGACCCCTACGCGCACTAAGACATCCTAAGACACCCTAAGACGCCCTAACACGATCTGATATCCCTAGACACCCCAAGAGCCCTAAGGCCCCTAGACACCTCAGACGCCTCAGGCCCCTAGACACCCTAATACCCCAAGACATCCTAAGACGCACAAGGTCCCAAGACACCGCACACGCAGAGAAAGCCGTTAGGCCCCAAGGATGGTGGCTTCGAGGGTGCCCGTTGAGACCCCATGGAGAACTCTTTAGACCCAAAGGATGGCCTCGATGGTGAGCCTCGTTCATTTCCACCGATCAGAAGCGGCGAAGCGATCTGAGATTGAGCGCAACGTGCCTCGAACGAGATCGAGGCCAATGGCATCCTCACGCCCGACGCGGGCTTGGGGCGTCCTCACGCCTGAAGCCCGCACGATAATTCACACCATATCAAACTGAAAGTGCGACTGGCTGAAGGCGGCCGCAGGGTCAGAGAGCACAGCACCTTCACCTTCCTCCCCGTGGCATCCTCCTGTTCTGGAACGAAGACAGCCCTTCTGTTCCGGAATGAGGACATCGTCCCTCCTCCATCTTACTCTTCCTCCCCCTCTGCAGGCTTACATGTTGGAGCCACCTAGCACTGCCTGTCATGATACACCTGCGTCTCCACAACAGTATCCGACGATGCGAACTCTCCCACCACAGTGGGCGCATGCACGAGGCGATGGCCATGCATCGCAAATGGGTCCATGCCCTCATCAAGGGGAGCCTGACACGCTGAGGCAAGGTCAGACCCTTGCAAGGCGGCAGACCCTGAAGAGGCGGCACCAGGCGCACCGCTGCAAAACTCAGGGTTGAAAGGCCAATTGCGCCTCTTCGCAGAAGGAACCTCGAAAGCGCCCCCTGGCGTAATCGACTCGGCGCCGTCGGCTGACGCCAGCCGCTGGGCACTGACGCATTCCTTCGGAATTGCCACACGAGAAGGAGAGGGAGACTTCGACCCATTGGCCTTGGGAGAGCCCCCAGGGCTGCCGATGTCAATCAGCTGGCCAAGCTGCAAAGTAGACTGAAGTTTGGGGAGCCAGGCACTCGGAGGCTGAGGCCCCCCAGGCTGCGAAACAGAGCTGGCCTTCGCTGAGCATGCCGCTCCGCCAGGCCCCTCTTCGCCTGGCCCCTTGACCTCGCTGGGAGAGCCCTGTGCGGCAGCAACAACACCGTCACTCACTTCACTCATCTCGGGGGGGGGGGACTGACGCCTAGTTTCCACTGGCTCATCACGACTGCCTCTTCATCACCACCCTCGGGGACTCCTGCAGCACCGACGCTGCCGCTGGCTGGCGCTGGCGTCGGCACTGCCGCTGGCACTGGCGTTGGATCGGCTGACCAAACGTTCGGCATTGCCGAATTCAAGTCGCGAGCGTGCTGCTGCTCAAGCTCCTCTGGTGGAACCTCTTGCGCCCCTCTCAGGTGCACTGTACATGGCAAGTTGCCAGTACAGGTACGAAACCATGTTTGCGGCATGCTTGGCAACCGAAACGTTAGTTGGAGGTGGCCACTCGTTTCGAAAGGCTCAATTGCGCGGCCCTCCATGCCGAGGAGGTAGCAAAACAAGACTATGCAATTGCTTGGCAAACGCGGCTGCGACTACGAAAAACAATGATTAATAACGATGGTGATGGATGGTTGCATGAACCGTGTTCCAATTCCTTCGCGTGCTCCTACGCATGCAGTGCACCATAGACGAAACACAACCACCGAACATGCAAATACACCCCAAAGGCCCAATGCCTCCAGACATCCCCAAGCGCCTAAAGCCCCCAGGCACCCTCAGACGCTGAACCCCCAAGACACCCAAGACGCCGCAATGCCCCCAGACACCAAGAACCCCCCCCAAAGTTGCGAAGCCCAAGACGCCAGAGGACCCGAGGCGCCCCATTGTTGACTTAGCGCGCGCGAATCAAATCGTCGAGCCCCACGGAGGAAGCATAAGGCATATGGAATCACTTGGCGGTAATACGCTCATACGTTAAATGTTGCCAGGTAAGTAGCTCCAGAAAACCACGGCTGCAGGGCAACGGTGGCGGTCCCGTGCTCCGGTTGGAAACCAGTCTGGTTGGGTTGGGATAGATGCGGCCCGCATCAATGTTTGGAGCTAAGAATACAGCCAAGATATCAGGGCAAAACATCAAGCCGAAGCAGAAACAATGGTTCGGGTGGGGGCGGGGGGCTCGGGCTACAGTTAACGCTAAGGCTAGGGCTAGGGCTAGGGCAATGGCTATGGGGAGCCAGGGGCCACGGCTAGGGCTAAGGTTGTGGCCAAGGCTAGGGCTGAGGCTAGCGTTAGAGCCATCGGCTACGGCTAGTGCTAGGGCCAGGGCTGAGGTGAAGGCTTTGGCCAGGCCCAAGGCTAAGGCAAGGGCTAGGGCCCAGGTAAGGGTTAGGGCTACGCTAAGGCTAGGGCCAGGGCTAAGGCTCGGGCCACGGCTACGGCTAGGGTTCGGGCTAAGTTTGAAGCTAAGGCGATTGCACCTACATGATGGACACCCACCTGAAATACAACAGTGCTCGCTGTCCGTCGAGATGCTCGCCTTTGTTCCAACTTACTCTCGGACGCACGCATAGCAGAACCCTTCTGGGCAAACTACCTAGACTCGCGAACGATCCAACCGAAAGCCTCTGGCGTGAGTCTGGAAACATCCCACCAGCGCGCCATCTCCCTCGCAACACCCACCAAACATATGCAAACGAACCAGCCTGTTTGCAACGCATCCAGGCGCGAAGACCTACAAAATGCCTTCGTCGACAAGACCCATGCGAGCCTTCGCGGGACCATTCCGCTTGCCGAGTCGAATGCACTTGGGCCCGCCAGCATCGTCGATGCGACAACGCTGTCCTATGCCCTCCGCCGTGCGCGGCAAAGCACGCCCGCGCGCCGCAGCCCCAGGATATGACCACGTGCAAACTGCGACGCAACAAACACAGCTGCCCCACCACATACAATCGCGCGCTAGCCCCCCACAAATCCCTGGCAATGTGCCCGCGCCGCAGCCCTGTCGCGGGCAACCACATGCCTAGCCGCGCCCCGTATTTAACGCAACCTGCTGCGCCGCTCGCCATGCAGCCCTACGTCCCTGCCAAACTGGTGGAACCAGGATCGGTAACGCGCACCGACGGTGGTTCAATCGCCCACAGCGTCGGCGCGGCCTCTGGAAATTGGACGGGGCTAGCCAGGTGTAGACCCCCTTGCGCGCGCCCCTATTGCTGCGCCGCGCAGCGATACCTGCTGCCGCGAGCGGCATAGGCTGGGAACACGCAGCGCGACCTGCCCGCTCGCGCCGAGGTAGGGCAGGGGGGGGCACGGCTGGCGGGGGGGTAGATTGTGAGTGTGCAGGCGCACCTGGCAAGTACCTGCCAAGTACCTGTTAAGTACTTGCTGAGGCAGCGGCCGATCCTGGGGCACCTCGGGAGGTACCTGCTAAGCACCTGCTGGGTACCTACCAGAACGAGCGCCACCCGCAAGGTACCTGCGAAGTACATGTGGCGAACGTGGCGCCGCCGCGAAGTACCTGCGAAGTACCTGCGAAGTACCTGCGAAGTACCTGCGGTACCTGAAAAGTACTTGCGAAGTACCTGCTGCGCCTGAAAATTACATGCGAAGTACCTGCTAAGTACCTGCTAAGTACCTGCGGCGAAGTACCTGCCAAGTACCTGCGAAGTACCTGCTCGGTACCTGCTACGAACCCAGGGTAGGTGCGAAGTACCTGCGAAGTACTTGCTCGACGCCCGTCGCGGTGCGACGGCACCTGGGAAGTACTTGCGAAGTACATGCTCGGTACCTGCTGGCGAACCGCCTAGGAGTTGACGCGCGCGCAAAGTACCTGCTGGGAGGTGCGGCCACCTGCTGGCACCCCTTGCAATAGCTGCAAGGGGGCCGCGGGTTGGGGCGCGCACCCGCAGGACACTTGCTGGGTGCCTGGCTATAATGCTCAGGCAACCTATAAACGCAGGCCATGCCGATGGCGGTGTACAAAGGCATGCAAAGTGGCGCTGCGAACATGCTCCACATCTGGTCCTGCGCGTGAACATGGGGCACAAAGCGTAACAGAAGAAAAGAGGCGGCCTTCACCAGCACTTGCAATTGGCGACACGCCTGCCCCAATCGCAGGCGCCCGTGTCCACGCTCGCCGCCTGGGGGATCGGGGGGGAGGGAGGAAGGAGGTAGCAATGCAAACGAAGGCGATGTGAACATGCTGCACAGTCCTCCGCGTGAACATGTGACACAATGCGTGGCACGACATGTTGATGTGTGAACACGCACACAGCAAAATGCTGCATAACTGCTAATGGCACACGTCGAACTATAGAGCTGCACCCTAAACACTGCGAAACCACGCCTGGAATGGCCAACACGACGACCTGACACATGCAGCCCTGGGGAGGGAATGTGTCAAGAAGCAGTCATCCATCAGTGTAGTCCGTAGGCATTAAGCTAGTGATAGCTAGTATGATCACGCATAGCCCGTGCCATAGCGCAGCATAGCATACCACGCAGTTCTCGCCTATACGTTGCAATACACATATATAAGCGGCGTGCAGCTGGACACCCATACGTTGAGCGCGAACCGCCGATTGGTTACCTTCAGGGGGGGTCGGGCGGATTCCCTGGCAGGGGTCGGGAATAACGGCCAGGCGGGTTCCCCGACAGGGGTTAAGAATTGAGAGACTAACATCGCTTCTCTGGCGATCCGAACCGCCGCGCCGCAGGGAAAGTTTGCCAAGCGCCTCAAGTCTCTTTCCCTATCCTCTTCCTTATCTCACCCGCACCTCCCTCCCGCCTCCCCCCCCCCTCTGTCCCCACCCCCCCCTGCCCTCCGCAGCCACTGCTGCTTATGTTACCGCTAGTCCGTTCCCCTTCCCCCCTTCAAGGCGCGCACTGGGAGGCAACTAATCCTCACTCTGGCTCCTCGTTTTCGGCCTCATGCGCGGCGACGGCCTCCTGGAGCGCCACCGGCCCGTTGACGGCCCTTGTGTTGTCGTCAGACTCTGCGGTCCCCGCCCAGGTCTTAAGGTTGTTCGGAAAAGTGCGGAGGCTCTTGACCCTGGAGCGGGGGCTCTTGTGTTTCAGTTTCTCTGTCTTCAGCTGCAGGGTCAGGCGGCGCCAACGCTTCCGAACATGTGGCCCAACGGCCGCGGGGGGAATCGCATCGCGACGAGCCATCTCTGGAACGATATCTCAATATCCCCGAACTCAAAGTCTCGCGGTGAGATGGCTGCGGAAAGGGGGAGAGGTTGAGGATCTGGACATGTAGGGGCTTGCCATGAATGTAGCGTTTCAGCAGCATGGGCATTCAGTTCGGCAACAGCACATAGGAGGCTCGGGTGTTAAGCCTTTGGGTGCATACACTGGGAAGCACTGTGTGTTCACGCCCACGTCCCGAGCCTATACATCAGCTATGTTACCGTATGGGGCACCATTTTGACGCGAGCCCCCCAACACGAATGTTAAGATGGTCGAGGCAAACGCTTCCCACATACGAGTGAACACCTAGCCTTGCAGTGCTTTGCGGCGCCCAAGCATGCAACGTGCCGCCATGTTGTAATATTGCATTGTGCTTGTTGCCCTGCTTTGCTAACCATGTGCGTCCTATGGCTTAGAGCACGTGCTATATGAGGCTGCGTTCAAGGATCTTCTGGACCATTGGGGGCCTCTAGTGGTCGTCGGGGGGGTGGCAGCCGCGCAAACGATCAGACACCCAGGCAGATGGCCCTACGTCTAAGCCAATCGGGCCAGCTCAGGGCCTTCTAGATCCCCCATCGGAACCACCTGAGAGCCCTTTTAAGTCTAAATCGACCGCCATACAATCGACATGTTTGCCTATCGGCCAACCGCCGATCGCCATTCGACCGCAAGCCGATCGTATGTTTAGGACTTGCACAGCGTAAACTGCGCAGGCGCCCTTAACAGCACCACGCGCGGCGCAAATGCCAGAGACACCATCAGACCCAACGACCCAGAGACCTCGCAGACCCCAGAGGTCCAAGAGACACCCAGAGACCCCAAAGACACAATCTAAGGATCCGCCTCCCATCTAGCGGGACTCAAGCGCACGCACGCTCCGTGCATCATCGAACTCACCAGGAAGGCCAGCACGGCCCTTCAGTAGTTGGAGCCCCAAGGAGACCCCCTTGGTGCCCTGAGGCCCACCCACCCCCCATGGACAGTTAACGAGAAATCGTGTGGCAAGTGTGCTTGGGGAGTGCTGGAGTTGTCCCCGTGGTCGTGCTGAAATCGCTTTGGTGGGGCCCTGTCCCTCCCTCCCCCGCCCCGATCCCCCCCCGTCCCCATTCTAGCCCCCTCCCCCAACCCCCCCAGGCACACCCCTCTACTTGGCAGCCCCCCCCCCTCCTCAGGTTGGTTCTACACCTTGTCCCCGCCAGGCGTGCCAACAGCGAAGCTGGGCCGTAACGGGGCCAGCGAAGCTGAATCGGATGAGAAGGACACATCAGCGAAGCTGTGTATGTGCACACAAGAAATACTGGCATGTGTCAATCTTTCTATGGGAGCTCACGCGGCTCCTCTGTATCCTCCCCAGGCCGCTTGGGCCTCTCCTTCGAAAGAAGAAGGGCTCCGTTCGGCAGCCCGCGCAGCACCTCCCTGGCGTCGTTCCTCTGCTGCCACGAGACAACGAAATCCGCCTTGCGCGAGCGACTGTCCAGATACTCGCCCCTGGCGCCAGCCAGCAGCCACGCAGCCAAAAAAAAACAACATGCCTCCCCTGCGCTGGGCGCACAGCATTAGCATACGACGTCTTGCGCCTCTTGCACTGACCTGACTTGCCGTGCCCAGCGGCGCGGCAGTTAGCGACAAAGTCGTGGCTCGATCGATACCAAGTCAGCGTGCCAGAACCAATGTCGACAATGATGGACCTCGGCCCTGGCAGCTCAACTGGAAGCGGTGGCGGGGGAGGCGGGCCCTCTGGCACGGCAGCTGGCGCGCCTGAGCTCGATGCTGCCCCAGGCCGAAGCACAGCTCTGGCAGGTAGAGCCGCATCTCGATCATGGTCGAGCCCAGGCCCCTCAAGCTGGAGCGCATCTGCGACGACAAGTGCATCGATTATGTCGCCGACAGAGCTGGCATCGCTGTCCCCACCAGGCTCGTACTCCAGCACCTCTGACGGAAAGTCAACAGGGACATCTAGACCACCGCATTCAGGCGGCACACCGTTGCCCAACCCAGAATCATCCACGTCACAATATGCAAACAGATCGCCTGGGTCAGCATCTTCGAACGAGCCCTCGACACCGTCCCCGTCATGGATGGCAAGCTGGCCCTCGACCTCAGGCTCGTGCTCCGAGACATCTGCATCATCAGCCCAGCTGGCTAGCATGCCACTCGGCATCCGACCAGCACGCTTGCGAGGCTTCGGGCACCAGGGGTTCCACACCAGCCGAATAGACCCCTCGACAAATTGACAAGATAAGCCGTCAGGCAAGAACTCGCCCGTCCCAGACGCCGAAAAGACTGCCGAATACAATGCACAGACCCACCCCAAATCAAAGCCAACTGAATATACCAGCTCCCATCCCGTAAGGAAGTTGCGGGTACCTTGCAAGCTGACGAGGGGAGGCAACGGCACAGATGCACCCACGATAACAGGACCGATCAGCTCATGGAACATTGATCTCCAAGGGTTCAGCGAATGATGGCCGACGTGTAGGAAGCGAACTGACTGGATTGGTGCATCTGGGACTAAGCTGTCGTCCCATGCCTGGCTCCTGTCATACTCCTTTGGCTTGGATTGCCCGATCAGCAAGATGACAACTTCGGCGTTGACGAGCTTCTCGCGCAAAGTTGACGTAGGAGGGCATTGTCGCTTGATGGGGTGCTCAAACTTCGACTGGAAAGACTTCATGACCTTACCATGCACGCCGCACAAGCACATGCCTGCCTCCGCGCAGCCGGTCAAGGTGCCACGGCCAGCCTCTGCGAAGATCGGGATGCTCTTGAAATCGATCGCCTGGTGCAGTTGGGCCCACGTGTCCAGCAACGCCCTGGCCAATCGCGCAGGGGCCCCCCCGCATCGGCAATGAAAGAGCGCGCTGTACCCTCAGCGACAGATCCCCCGAACTCCAGCGAAGGATGCCAACCGCAGCATCTGCATGAGAAACGGACGCAAAATCAGCGGCGCGCAAGCCGATCTCGGGCGCAAGCAGAGACAAATGCTTGACCGTATCAGCGCCACTCCTGATGCGTGCCACTCGGTCTTCGTCGTCTCTGCGATCTGCGAGTCTCCGAGCATCCGATGCCAGCCTCAAGTTTGACCTCAACTGAATCAAGTAGTCCAAAGACCGCTGATTTGGTAGCTCATGAGGGCCGCCATCAAGACGGGGCGGCACGTGAGTGAAAGCAACGAGCTCTGAACCGACAACGTCAGGTACGCTACCAACGTGACGCTTTGCATGCGCCAGCCTCTGTACTGCAAGGTCTCGATCCCTCTTCTCTTGCTTCCGCCGCTCGTCCCGAGGTTTCTCACCGAAGGTGGAGCTGTGCCCAGCCGCTCGACGGGCAGTTCCTCCCCTGCCAAGCTCAGTGAGACGACGCCGTTCCTCGTCGCCAAGCGCGCGGCACTGCTCAGACAATTGCGCAATATTCCCGAACTCGCGGGTGCCAACCGTCTGCTCCCGAATGAATAACCTCCAAGCTCCGCCATAGCAAGCGCGGCGCTTCTTGGTCGGCTTCACCTGCTCGTCCGACGATCGAGCAGGAACTGTGCTGGATGTGTCTCCGCAGTCTCGGCGTTGCCGCTTGCACTCTGCAAACAACTGCCGGAACTCCTTGCAAGTCCTCCTCGCCGACATGTGAGCGAACAAAACAGCGTGAGTCTGAACAGAATGTTGCTGCAAAACTCTCCGGATCGCAGCATGCTTGGCCTCGACGCGAATCGTCTCCCTCTGCAGCAGCTCCGCGCTGGCGGAAATCTCGGCCAAGCAAGCTGGGGTCAGCAGCCCAAGCTCTGACTCCGAATACGCATCCACGATCGCTGCGCTCCAGGGGCCCATCATGCGCTTGCAGTCCGACGCTACCTCGGCGAGCACGCCAGCGCGCCGATCAGGGCGCAACAGTAAGAACAATGTCCAAGGATACTGGCGGTGAGCAACACTGGGCCCATGATTCTCACAACCCAACATGGAGAGCATCGTAAAAGCACGCGCCCGATAAGAATAGGTTCTGCACGGCGCTGGCATGATATGCCACTGGGCAGGGTTCACCATCAAGTCTGCGATCTCATCGAAGCACTGCCGCTCGAACTGGTTCTCCGCCGCCAGCAGTGCGTGACGCCCGTCAGCCGAGTCAACTCCAGGAACGCCGAAAAGCTTTCTCCGCTCCTCGACCTTGTCATGAAGTTCCGAACCAGCGCGCAAGTAGTTATCCATGATATTCGTCAGAGGCGCAATCACCTTCGATATCATGATGAAAGTACCGAGGGCGTAGCCATCATTATCCCGCAACCACTTGCCGCCGAGATAGCGGTGCTTCGACTGATCCTTCCTCTTGGCATCACTCGGGTCGGCGCCTGCAGCTGCGCCAAGGTCGGGCTGGCCATCGCTCCCGTCACCGCCGCCGCCACAGGCGGCAGGAACGGCATCGTCGTCCGACTCGTCGCCACGAAACTTGGGATGACCAGCCGACGAAGGAGATGGAGCAGCACCAGACCACTGAAGAAACGCAGTGGCGAGCAAGCCGCGAACACTCTCCATGAGCCCCAGCCACGACACCGACTCGTCTGCGCCAACCCACCGCTTCAACGGCCAAGGCTTAGGAGCGCAAGAAGCCAAAGCACGAGCAAACATACCTGATATTGTTCTCCTGCAGTCAGCCTCACTCTTGCAGCAACCGTTGCAATAATGTGCGATGCGGCTCCTGTCGCTCCAATCGCCGTCGGCAAACGTCAACAGCAAAGACTCGCCTTAGCAGGTGGGCTGGAGACTTCCGTGCCAAAAAAAACGTCGAGGAGGCTGATGTTGCGACGCACTTGTGCGGGTTGAGGGCGAACGTTGGGCACGTAGTGCAGCATGCCGTCGATGGTGCGTCGCAGAACCTTGCGGAACGACCTCATGGCATCACCACCGTTCAAAGCATTTGCGATGTGTCGCATGCGATTCACCACGTGGCCTATCTGGTCAAACACATCCTCATGCCAGTGGTACACGCGATGGACTTCGCACTTGGTCTTGAGAACCACCCATCTTCTGTCATTGGCCGCCACTGCGCGCTCTGCCCTGTCGACGGCAGCGTCGGCGTCTGTGCAGACGCACCGTTGCCGACGCCGAAATGCCGACAGAACGTCCTCTGGGAGTTCAGGAGCAACGTCACTTGCAGCCAATGCTTGAAAGTAGTTCTCGCCCTTGCCTTCGGATATACACTGGAGCCAACATGGAATCGGACATCGGACGAGCAAGAACTGCCCATTGGCAAGTTGGAGCAACACATTGTCTGACCTGAGTGTCTGAACGATCTTGGCCACGTGGGAAGAGACACACGATGTGATTATTGCGCTGACAGGATCATGGTCTGCGACCTCCAGCTGAAGATCTCCAGCGGCGGGTCCTGGCTTCTCTGGGTCGACACATCTGGTTCTCATTGGAGTATCGTCGTACCTGAGCTCACTATAATAGCAGATCGCCGCGCCTCCAGATGCAACGACGCCTCGGACCAATCCAGTCACCATCCGAACAAAATCCCGCCGATGCATCAATACACTCGAGGACGCCGTGCAGTGGAGGAGCGCCTGGGCAGCTCGGAGGTCGAGGCCGAGCGATTCAGCCTCGGCACAAAAGCCAGCCTGGCGATGACAACTGGTCTGGGCGTAGTGCTGCAGTGCCAGGACGCGCTTCGGGTCGGGATGCAGCTGGCCCGCATGGGCCTCGGATAAGGCAACGTCAAACAATGCGTTTGTTGAAGGGGAGGTCCCAGGCCCTGAAACCTTCCTATCAACAAACCCCCACGGACATTGCCCAGGCAATGGTTTCGAGAGCCCACGTAGGCCCAACAGGGCCGCGAAGCTAGACCCACATGATGGCCAAGGAATTTCGGGGAGGAATGGGCACGACAAGCAACATTTAGAGACGCAGCCTGAACGATGGCAGCCATCATCTCGAGGGACCCCGCCAAGGCGTGGCACTCGGGCTCTGGCGGTGGCACACCAGGCTCGACAGCGACGACCGCCTCAGCGAGGTCGTCCTCGCCCTCGGCGCCCTCGTCGCGGACACCCAGGTCCTCCAGAGCTACAAGCTCTGGCACGGCAGGGCGGTGATCGAGGCACGTCGCGAGCCGCCTGCGCACGCGGTGCCACAAGGCACTGAATCTAAGGTTCATGTCCAATCCGTGGCCGCGAATGTCAGGCGATGCACGTGCGAGGGCAGGCCCAGCTGCTACGACTTCGTGATGCGAGTCTCCGTCGTGCAGTGGCTCCCCGTCGTTGCTGGGCCCATCAGAGGCCCAACCCGACAATTCGGCGACCTCGGGCTCACCAAAAGACGCGAGCCCCCTCTCACCAGCGTCACTGCCGCTGGCCACCTCGTCACCCCAGGACGCGAGACACTCGCCTCCAGAAGCGCCGCCAGAAACATCCATGCAACGCTTCGCTGCATAAAGGAAAAGAACACACAACACTGAACTCGTCATCTGCAGCAGAGCCTAAACAGCGACGGAAAATGCGTTTAACCATTCGGAACGATGGCCCCAAGCTGGCTTACAAGGCTCAAACCCAGAACGTGTCCAGCCTCGCACGGAAAATATATGGACAGGCTTTGCACGCCCCCCTCCCTACCCTCCTCACCTTCTCCCCTCATCCTCCTACCCTCCCCCACGTATATTGCACCACATTGCCTGCACCGTCCACGCGAACTGCTCCGCGTAGCCAGCGGACGTGGTTCGCTGCACGCAGATTACACCACATAGCAAACCCCCTCGGGCTACATTGCGGCTATGTATTCCTGAGGTGTTGCGCATGGCCTACGAAACGGTTTGTAGTTGGGGGATATGTATGCGGGTATCTTACATGGGCTCCGCAAACGCACCGATACCTTGCGCAGGTATCATACTCGAAACTGTTGTGTTGCATGTATTTGGGTTTGTATCACGGATCGTATCTAACACCTGTTCCGCGACTACTTTTAAGAAATCCAACATGGGGGCCTCCTAGAGGGGCATGCATCTCATAATCTGTGTATGTGAATTTATGTGCGAACGTATATGTATCCAGTCTTGCCGCTGCCCTGGCCCCCAGGACGCTCCCGAGAGGCCCAATAGACCCCAGGAGGCCTCCCAGACGTCCCCCTATACAGACCACCGAGGGCCCCCCAAATGGACCCTCAAAAGGCTCCCGACAAAGCCCTCAGGCGGCCCCCGAGAAGCCAACCATCCGTCTTTGCCTCAACCTCCTTCACGCTGCGCTGCTGCGCCAGCGCGGCGGCGGGGCGTGCCGCAGGAGGCAGCTGGACATCGAGGACTGCGCCCGGCAGCGGGGCCGAAACCAGCTGCACGCAGCAAATTGACTGCCGAAGCCAGCTGCGAACCTTTCCCAGTCCTCCAAGACGAAGCCAGGACGAGGATAACATCGGGCGAGGATAAGTCGAAACCTCTGGGATCCTGCGGCTATGGAAGCTGTCTCGGGCGCCGCGGCATTCTCAGAGCGTTCCAGCCCCGCCCAATTCCTTCCTTGGCGGCGCGCACATGGGACTAATTAGGGGGGAGGTGGGAAGGCTTCTTAGAAGGAGGTTGTTTCTTAGAAGGCGCGGGCCTCACATGTATAGAGAAGGCCCGCCGCTTCTCATAAGCAAGGGTGTGTCTAAGAAGCCTTCCCCCCTCCCCCCAACCCCCTTCTGCGCGTGGTTTGCTTCCTGTCGTTCCTAAGATTTCCCTCCGATCCGATCCGAACTGGGCGAGAGCCATGCCCATCTATCGATCCCACTACCGATATCACTATCGATCTCACTATCGATCCCACTATCGTTATCACTACCAATCTCACTATCGATCTCATTACCGATCTCACTATCGATCTCACATCGATCTGACTTTCGATCCCTTGAACAATCTCACGAATGACGTCATTTTCGATCTCAGGATCGATTTCACTATCGATCCCAACACCGATATCACTATCGATCTCATTATTGATCTCACAATCGATCTCACTATCAATTTCATCATCGATTTCACCGAGGGACGCCACAGAACACCGACGGGACGCCACGGGATACCGACGGGACACCGACTCGACAATGACGGGACAGCGACGGGACAGCGACGGGACAACGACGGGGCACCGACGGGACACCGACAGGAAACCGACGGGACACCAACGGGACACCGACGGGACAGCGACGGGACACCACTGGGACACCGACGGGAAACCGCCGGGACACGACGGCGGGACAACCTTGGCCAACGCTGGACCACCAGGTGGATGGGGCGGTGAACGGCTCTCGACCCGCCCTAGCCACAGCGGAACTATTCTTCTCGCCCGCCCACGCAGCTTCGCCTCGCCCGCACGCACGACACGAACCCGAAACCGAAACCCATTTCCTGGTGGGGGGCTCTCCGTTCCACTGCGATCTCACCCCCTCACTTCCCACCTCTTCGGTGCTTCTCGGGGCCGTCATGGAGGCCGCTTGGAGGCGGAGAACAAAGTGGAGGATCCCAATATGTTGTATTTTTCCCTGGCTTGCGCTAGAACCACGCGCGCGCTACGCGCGCGCTTAGGTTCTAGCTTCGTCCAGGGCAACGGCCAAACAACGGGCGAGGAGGTTGAAGGCTGAATGCACCTCGGTTATTCGTCGAGTTTCGCGTTCGCGGTTCGAAAAAGCTTTGGGGCGCTCCTCACCCCCAGGCGGCCCGAGGCGGCCGAAAACGACACCTCTTCCTCGTCCTCCTCTTTCCCCATGCTCTTGCTCCTCCCCTCCTACTCTTCCCCCCCCCCCCCCCATCGTCCCCTCCTTTTCCCCCGTCCTATTCCTCCGCCCCCTTCCTCCAATCCTCCTCCCTTTCCTCCTCCTCATCCTCCTCTTCCTCCTCCTCCGCCTCCTCCTCCTTCTCCACCTGCTTTCCCTCCTCCTCCTCCTCCTCTTCCTCCTCCTCCTCCTCCACACCTCCTCCTCCTCCTCCTCCTCCTCTCCTCCTCCTCCTCCTTCCTCCTCCTCCTCCTCCCTCATCATCATCATCATCATCATCATCACCATCACCATCACCATCACCATCATCATCTTCATCATGTTCTTCCTCCTCCGCCTCCTCCTCCTCCTCTCCCTCCTCCTGCCCTCCTCCTCCTCCTCCTCCGCCTCCTCCTCCTCCTCGTCCTCCTCCTCCTCCCCTCCTCCTCCTCCTCCTCCTCCTCCTCCTCCTCCTCCTCCTCCTCCTCCTCCTCCTCCTCCTCCTCCTCCTCCTCCTCTTCCTCTCACTCCTCCTTCTCCTCCTCCTGTTCAGACGACATGGCTCGCCAAACGGCACTGCGACGCCGCGCAAGCATTGAGCCACATCGGATAAAGGGAACACTCGGGGGAGGCATCCCTCTTCCTCTTCCTCCTCCTTCTCTCCTCTTCCGCCGCATCCTCCCCCTCCTCCTGCCCCTCCTCCTCCTCCGCCCCCTTCTCCTCCTCCTCCTCCTCCGCCTCCTCCTCCTCGTCCTTCTCCCCCTCTTCCTCCTCCTCCTCCTCCTCCCCCTCCCGCTCCTCCTCCTCCTCCACCTGTCCTCCTCTCCTCCTCCTCCTCCTCCTCCTCCTTCTCCTCCTCCCCATCATCATCATCATCATCATCATCATCATCATCATCATCATCATCATCATCATATCACATCATCATCATCATCATCATCATCATCATCACATCATCATCATCACCATCATCATCATCATCACCATCATCATCATCATGATCATCATCGTCATAATCATCATCATCATCATCATCATCATCCCTCTTCCCTCCTCCTCCCCCGCCCCCTTCTCTCTCCACCCCCCTCCTCCCCCCCTCGTTCTCCTCTTCCTCCTCCTCCTCGTCCATCTCCTCTTCCTCCTTTCCTCTTCCTCCTCCTCCTCCCCCCACCTCCTCCGCGTGCAAAAAATCCAACAACGTGTCGCGGAAATCAACGAACTGTGCCCCTCCGGGTTTTTTTCGGGCGTCCTTTTAGGACTTGTCGGGGCCGTCTTAGGGCCCCCTTGGGCGCCCTGGGAACCCGGAAATCATGTTCCGATAGAGGCTTCGGGGAACATGATTTCGGACGCTGCGGAAGAGGCCTCCCAAGAATCTCTATAGGCAGCTCTGCTTGCCCCCGTTGTGGCTATGTTGGGTGCCTTTTGGGGCTCTCTTGGGCTGGCTTGTAGCTCTCATGGGTCATATTGGGCCCCTCTTGGGCCGTCTTGGGGCTCGTCGGGGTGGCACTGCGAAGACGTCGTCGTCGTCGCCGTTCGCCGATTGGCGGCGTCAACTGTTGTCATCGATGTCCATCGTCGTCGTCGTCGTCGTCGCCGGTCGTCGCCGTCGACGACCGTCGTCGCCCTCCTCCCCTCCACTCCTCCTCCCCGCCTCCTCCTCCTTCTCCTCTTCCTTCTCCTCCTCCTCCTCCTCCCCCTCCTCCTCCTTCGCCCTCTCCGTCTCCTCCGCGCGGAAGAAATCCAACAACATCTCGCGCAAATCAGCGAACTATGGCCCTCCGGGCCTTTTCGAACGTCCATTTAGGGCCTTTTGGGGGGGCCGTCTTAGGGCCCTCTTGGGCGTCGCGGGAACCAGGAAATCATGTTCCCGGAGAGGCTTCTGGGAACATGATTTCGAACGAGGCCCTCTTGGGCCTCCTTGAGGCCGTGTTGGGAGCCTCCTGGGCCAACTTTGGGGCCTCTTGGGCCGTCTTGGGGGTTCCGTGAGCCTCACAGGACGACCCTTCTGGGCCGTCTTGGGCCCTCTTGGGTCTCTCTTGGGCTGTCTTGGGGCTCGGGGGCGTCTGGGGCACTGTGAGGACCAAGCAAGCAAATATGCTGAAAACGTACGTTGTACAACGGGAATGGGCCGATTTTTGCCTCTTGAAGGCCCTCTTCGGCCAGCTTCAAACCATCTCGGGCCCTCTTGAGGCGCTCTTGGACGTCTTGGGGCCCCCTTGGGCCTCGCTGAGGCTGTCGGACAGCGTCGCCGCCGTCGGCGTGGCCGTCGTCGTCGTCGCCGTCGATCATCGATCGGCGGCGTCGACTGTTGTCATCGTCGTCGATCGTCATCGGTCGTCGTCGTGTCGTCGTCGTCGTCGTCGTGAATCACCGTCGCCGGTCGTCGTCTCCGATCGTCGATCGCCCTCGAGCCTCCTCCTCCTCTCTCCCCCCCTCCTCCCCTCCACTCCTCCTCCCCGCCTCGTCCTTCTCCTCTTCCTCTCCTCCTCCTCCTCCCTCCTCCTCCTCCTCCTCCTCCTCCTCCTCCTCCTTCGCCCTCTCCGTCTCCTCCGCGCGGAATAAAATCCAACAACATTTCACGCAAATCAACGAACTATGGCCATCCGGGCCTTTTTCGAAGGTCCTTTTAGGGCCCTTTTGGGGCCGTCCTGGGGCCCTCTTGGGCGTCCTGG